TCAATACGCAAGGGCATGCTCTACGTATGATCAATTTCTAAATCGAGGTAGGTTATTGACAAACAAGTTGATGAAACAAGAATATCAGCAGTCTCGTTTAAAGTCATCATTTCGTAAGTTCTATGGTCTATACAATGACCTTGTCAGCAAAGACAATCTATAATTAAGTCAAATGCTGACTGACGTTTTTCAAACTTATTGTTAGGCCATTATTTACACACTGAATTGTAGACGGATTTTTCCGTTATTTCTCGATCCTGACAAGGAGCACCCGGCGGGTGTGACCGATCTGCAAGGGATGCTCACTCCTCCATGGAATCCCAACTCTGATGTTACATGTATATAGGTCAGTATTTGCTCTGCTCCTGATTTGTATTGCTCAATTAATGGACTTTTGAGCTTGAATACTGTTCGTTATTTCCATATATTAACGTGTACATGTACATACATTTGAAGTTCAAATGTATGTACATCTGAAGATGGATGTATGAAATCTCAGAAAGCGCTAGTGAAATGAAGTTTGAAACCTGTGTATTTTCTTTTTCTTTTATGATTATTTTTACTGTGTGGCATCAACTTTTAACTACTTTCGAATTATAAATATACAGAGTGCTTTTATAATTGAAATTACACCATGATCTGCATGCAGAATTATTTGTCAATAAAAAATTCACTGTAGCATCTCAGTTCTTTGATTCTGCATATATGATTTTTTCAGATATGTTGCTTTATATAAGCTTCATTAGCTTAGCAACTTCTCAACAAAGTACCATTTTGGTGAAAATTCAGAGTCGATGACATGTCACATCAGCCTGTCAGAGTTGCATGATGTAAATTTAAAATAGAGACTGTTTAATTATTTGGAACTTGCGTTAATATGATTTATTAATCGATGCATTTTACATAGCAACTTTTTTCGATCGAAGGTTGAAGCGTACGCGTCATTTTGTCGTCAGTAACTATTGCACAGTGTAATGGTAAAATTTCCTATTCTGATAAAAATTCTCAGTAGATTCAATGTAAAACAGTTTTAACCTTATGTGGCCAGTGAAAATTAGGAAATACTGATGTAGAAGTATTAACTAAAAAAGTGTCGCAAGATAGATTTTAATTTCGGTGACATGTCCCTCAGATATTACTTAAAAGGAATCCACATGAAATTTAAAGAATTATATAGTGTTTTTATGCAGAGTGCAACACTGCTAGAATGTAAAATACATTTGGTTTATTTTGACGGGAAGATATCATTGCTGAAAATTTCATTATTTAATTTGATGTCTATCAGTTAAATCCTGTTATTACCTTTTTTCCTTTGGGAAGGCTCCATGCATCTCTAGCCTCAGTGACAAGTTTTCTAGTGGGCATGAGGGGATTGTTCTATTTTGTGTCTCATCCTAACTGAATCACAAATCTCTTTTATTCGTAAAGGTATATTCATCACAAATTTCATTAGAAAAGGGTCTGAAAAAGATTCAGATTTCTACGCACTTACATATGAATATTGCGAGGGGGAGGAATGTGCATAATCATTTGTTTTGTAGTTTTTAGTTCACCTAAACCAAAGGTTCAAAGTGAGCTATTCTGATCAAAATTTATTCTTTGTCTGTCGTCGTAGTATTAAACTTTTCACATTTTCAATTTGTTCTCCAGAACCATTGGGCCATTTTCAAGCAAACTTGGCACAGAGTATTCTTCAGAAAAGACAGGCAACGATTACAAAAGTGGAACGGGTGGCCGGAAGGGGGGGGGGCAACTTTCCCCCAAAAAAATCTGACAGGCAAATAAGTAAATAAAAAATGAAAAATAAATTGACCAAAAAGTGAGTGACTAACTTCCAAAACTTATCTGACAGGCAAAAAAAATTAATAATAATTTACTGTCCAAATCCTGGAATTTGTCAGTGCTCGGAAAAAAAGTGGGGGCCGCCCCCAAGCCTCCCGCGTTCTACAGGCCTGAAAGATGATTTGAAATTCTTCAAATGAAGGGAAGCATCCCCTTCCAAGCGGAGATGATCAAATAAAAGCAAAAATACGATGCCTTCATATAAAAATCTTCTTCTCGGAAACCACTATGCCAGAATAGACGAAGCTTCCCGACATAGTGTAGACTCAAGTTTATTCAAAGAATGGTTCCTGGATAGGATGGGGCCACAATAAAGGATCAAAGATTAACATCGGAATATATAGGGAAAAAATATTTTAGAAATTTCCTCTCAAGAACAGCAGGGCGATGATTAGTCATTTTTGATATTAGTATGTAAGCATCCTCAGCAGGTTCAAATTTGTTCAAATCATGGTCCCCATGAGAAGGGTGGGGCCACGAGAGGGATTCAAATTTTTATGTGGAAATAAATAGGCAATAACCTTTAAAAAACCTTCCTCTTATGTACAACACGGCCATGATTAGTCATATAATTTGCAATCAACCCCCCCCCTCCCCCGTGGGTTGTGCAGATTAAAGTTTCTTCGAATCGGGGTCCCAGGGGTATAGGATGGAGCAATGAACCGTGACCCTAGTTCAGTTTGGCCACGGTAAAAGACTATATATTCACGTGGAATATATTTGAATTTATAGGATTTTTTAAGTGCAGATTCAAGTTAGTTCAATTCATGGTCCTAAGGACAAGAAAGGGGTTCAAATATATTTTTCAATTTTGCATGGGAATATTGAAGATTTTCAATAATAATTTAGAGAGTAACAGGGTGACAATAAGTTACTAGTATATTGATATGCAAACAGTCCTATATTGTGTTAATTCTTTTTTTTTTTTTTTTTTTTTTTTTTTTTGTATTATGGACACATGATTTTACATAAGTTGTGTCTGTTCGGGGGAAACTTTAAAATATCTTCTCCAGAGCAGCAAATCCATTTTAGTCACATTGATAGTAAGAATCCTCGTGTTTTGTGGATTCATGTTTGTTTAAGCCATCACGACTTAAGGCTAGGATAGGGTCATGTTACTGAGTCAGATTTTTTTCATTGTATCATAGAGGGGGGGAGGAAGGCTTCGAAAAATCTTCCGAGGAACAGCAGGGCCAAAATGACTAAGGTGAGCGTTGTGATCCATGGGCCTATTTAAGATTTGTTTTGTACGTTGACAAACTTTTTTGCATTCAGTTTCAATGTTTCTCTTTGGATAAAGGGTCTATTTCAAACATCAACCTACATTGATCATGAAAATCTTAACGGAATATAAACAAAGTCGATCAGTTCGATCAAAGTCAATATCACGACTTGTGATTCAAAACAAGACCAAAAAAAAAAAAAAAATCAAGACTGACGTATGTGACAACTCAGCTGAGCAACACAACCCTTATGGAATATCTTAAAGTCCTCTAAAAACACTACTTCTTTTTTTTAATTACCTTATTGGGTTTTAAATTATCTTTTATCTTAGGTTTACTTAGTAGGACTCATTTTTATTAATTATAAGTTCTGTACATTTAGGTAACCATAATAACAAGAGGCCCATGGGCCACATCGCTCACCTGAGTAACTTTGGCCATGCTGTTGATTACCAGACTCCCCCCTTGTAATACCTATTGTGGCCCCACCCTCCCCCCAGGGGCCATGATTTGAACAATTTAGAATCTACACTACCCCAGGATGCTCCACATAAGTTTCAGCTTTTCTGGCCCAGTGGTTCTTGAGAAGAAGATTTTTAAAGATTTTTCCTATATATTTCAATGTAAAACTTGTATTTCCTATTGTGGCCCCGCCCTACCCCCGGGGGTCATGATTTGAACAATTTAGAATCTACATTACCCCAGGATGCTTCCACATAAGTTTCAGCTTTTCTGGCCCAGTGGTTCTTGAGAAGAAGATTTTAAAAGATTTTTCCTTTATATATTTCAATGTAAAACTTGGATTCCCTATTGTGGCCCCACCCTACCCCCGGGGGACATGATTTAAACAATTTAGAATCTACACTGCCCCAGGATGCTTCCACATAAGTTTCAGCTTTTCTGGTCCAGTGGTTCTTGAGAAGAAGTTTTTTAAAGATTTTTCCAATATATTTCAATGTAAAACTTGTATTTCCTATTGTGGCCCCCCCCTACCCCCGGGGGTCATGATTTGAACAATTTAGAATCTACACTACCCCAGGATGCTTCCACATAAGTTTCAGCTTTTCTGGCCCAGTGGTTCTTGAGAAGAAGATTTTTAAAGATATTTCCTATATATTTCTATGTAAAACATTGATTCCACATTGTGGCCCCGCCCTACCCCGGGGGTCATGATTTGAACAATTTAGAATCTACACTACCCCAGGATGCTTCCACATAAGTTTCAGCTTTACTGGCCCTGTGGTTCTTGAGAAGAAGATTTTTTAATGACCCCACCCTATTTTTGTCTTCTCTTGATTATCTCCCCTTGTGAGGGGACTTGGCCCTTCATTTTAACAATTTAAATTCCCCTTCACCCAAGGATGCTTTGTACCAAGTTTGGTCAAAATTGGCCCAGTGGTTCTTGAGAAGAAGTCAAAAATGTGAAAAGTTTACAGACGGACGGACAGACAGACGGACAGACAGACGGACAGACGGACAGACGGACGGACGGACGACGGACAAAATGTGATCAGAAAAGCTCACTTGAGCCTTCGGCTCAGGTGAGCTAAAAATATTAGTTAACGTTACTTTTAGCCCCCCCCCCCCCCCCCAAAAAAAAAAAAAACTTCGATTTTTTTTTTTTTTTTAAATATTTAAGGCATGGTTTACATTACGATTTTTTTATATATCTATTTCATTATATTAGTTAATGTTAGTTTTATGGGTTCTTTTTTTTCCACTGAAAAAGCCATGCGTGAATTAACTTTTTATTTGTACACATGTATAGCACCTTAGTGTACCTTGTTTTATATTGAGCACTATATTAATTTTACATTAACATTTATATAAATTCAACTAATAGTGATGAATGATTCTAATATTTCACACAAGTGGAATAACTCTTCATATCTGTCGAGCTTAAAGAGAGTTATATGCCCTTGAATATTGAGCCAATCAAATCGCTGCGTTCATGCGCTTATTTTGAAAAGTTTAGAAAGAAAATGTCGGACTTGAAGAGATAATTTACTCAACGTACTAAGACAAAATGGCAACGAACGGGTAAATTCAGTAGTTTTTATTTAGTTTTAATAATATGAAATTAACGTATAGATATCACATATAAACTCCTAGAAGGCAGATCATTATACTGTAGCTCGGTTAGATTTAAAAAAAACTGGATTATCAAATATGGACATATAAATAATAGCGTCAATCAAGGGATATGTAAATAATGTTTTTAAAGATTTTTTCTTCAGTGTAGTATTAAAATTTATAGATCAATAATGCGTGAAAAATTGTATCAACTACTATTGATATTCAATGAAATTCTAGTAAAGGACCAAATGTAGGCTTATGATATATCCCTGGAATTGGCCTTTTGTATTGCAATTCACTTTGTATTTTATGTACATATCAGAAGAATGACAGCTGTTGAAGATCTAGTCAAGTTTCTTGATACATCCATGAGCAAATTGAACAGAATATGGACAGAAATAGGAATTGTGGATTATCAGAGAAAGGAGCGTGCTCAAACTGCAATGTTACACCTACAGAATCTTCTGGAGGATATGGTACAAGAAGAAGAAGCTCTGAAGCACCAGATTACCAAACGAATTGAGAAATATACACTGGAAGTCAAAAGCTTGTGTACTGAATTGGAAATACCACAATTTGAGGTACATTCTCAACAAGTCTTGCCACTATCTTATGAAATTATCAAACTGAATGATTTATCCACAAGAACTCAGAAATGGTCCTTCACAGAGAAGATTTCAAATTCATTATTTTGCATAATTTATGACTTTTTAGAATAATGCGTAAGTCCACAGTTGGGCTGAGTTGGCATTGATATGCAAAAAAAAAAATGCAATGGAGTTTGCATTGGCTTACATCTAGGAACAAGATATAGCTGAATAATTTACAGGGACATAAAAGTCAATTTAATCAATTAAAAGTGATACATAGTCATTTTTTATTTCAGCCAAATGGTAAACTGTCAATGTTACAAAGAGAGAAAGACCTGCGGGCAAAAGTAGAGTCTTTATCTCAAGAAAAACAAGAACGTTTAAAGACTCTTAAGAATTTGAAGGACCAGGATCAGCACCTATGTGATGCCATGTGTTTAACTCCCTACTACATCCCCACTGGATCCACACCTTCAAATGAGCAGTTAAAGGCTCTTGAGCAGCATGTTAATTCCTTAAAAGCTGAGAAGGTATGTAGCCTATTAATAGAAACAAGTAAAAAGCAAAGAAGATACATGTTCTTATTATAAAGCCACATTATTGCTAATTAATTATATATCATTTAATTATACTGGGATGTTTTTCTTTTTTTCAGGAAAAACGTTTTGCAGAATTTGTGTCAAAGAAAAAGAAAGTTGTAGAATTGTTTCATGAAATAGACCGTAATCCCCAATCTGACTTTGAGTGTGATGTGATATGTGAAGAAGACAGTACCTTCCTACTATCCATGGAAAACCTGAAATCTCTCAAAACTCTACTGACAGAGGTATGGCAAACAACAGCATACCATTAAGATTAATGAGTTTTCTGAAAGAGAGGAAAACTGTTTTTCAGGACTGGTTGTTTAAAAGTTTGCATACTTAAGCTCAAATTCTTGTTAGCAGTTTTAGTTGTCTACACTTTTTAACATAATAAAAATAATCTTCTTTTACATAAATCAAACAAAAGATTGACATTTTGATTCCTATAACAAGAAGTGTATGTAGATTTGTTTGCTCTGACATTGGCAGTTAGAAGAACAGAAAGAAGATATGGAGAAAGAAGTGGCGGATCTATGGGGGCGGATCGTTTGTCTGTGGGATAGACTGGAGATTTCTGAGGCTGAGAGAAGTCACTTTAGGAAAGACAAGTCTGGCATCAAACCCCCCGTCATAGAGGCAGTAAGTCTGTGTTTGAAAAAAGGAAAGATGGTTTCTTTTTCTTAATGAATTAGTGGTATTGAATTATTTTATGATGATGAGTATAATGTTTAATAATATACTTTTGTACCATAATATTCTCTTGTATATCATATTCACCTGAGTAATTAAAAAAGCACCCTGTTGTCTTGAGTTATTTAGTTTACTCATTTGGCATCTAGAGTTATATCCATTAATTACTTTATCATGTATTAAATAATTATATCATTTAAAATTCAATCAATTTACTGCGGGGGGGGGGGGGGGGGGGGGGCTTGATTGTTGCTAGCATAAATCTTACTTCTCTTTCTTCTTCCCAAAATAAATAAATGGTCTGTTTCCAGTAATGATGTGAAAAAAATAGATAAGTAGATAAGAACTTAAGAAGTAAATTTTATTTTTCAATAATTTTTCAAATAAACATAAATATATTATTTTGTTTTTTCTGTTTCTTGCCTTTACATGTGATTGCTGCTCTATAACAAGTTCTATTGAAATCATTAAAGCTTTACTGTAGCAGAGCTTTAGTCAGTCTTGAATCTTTCCAAATAAACATTTTGTTGATGAAGAGTTACGTTTATAAGATATGAACAAAAAATATTTTTATCTGAAATTTTCCAAATTGACCAACAAATTCTCTAGTATTGGCAAGGGAAAAAACAAGTCAGGTTAGCATAAGATACAAGTATAAACAAGATGGAAATGCTTGTAGTCTTGTGCAACACCAGACAAACATCCCATTTAAAAAAAGGCTATGGATTATTGTTTTAGTTTTTCTGAGTCTGAATATCAATGTTAACCCCTCATTATATGGGGAAAAACTCCAATATATATATAGTATAAGAAAACATTGCAATTTAATGTTTTCTTTTGGTGATTATGGCTAGGACTGTGCAATAATATCAATATTCTGGTATATTGCAATTCGTTGACCAAAAATATCGTATTGCGATACATTTTTTTCCAATACTGATATACCTGCAAAATGCTTGGGCTTGGGATTTCTTATGTAAAATATATAATTCAAGATGTCAGAAACGATATCAATTGTGCCAAACACTAAGGTTGCTGTTGTATGATTGCATTTTGTTGCAAAACTGTAGTGAAATCAACAAGAACTTTTTTGTTACAACACATTTATAATAGTTATCCACACTTTGCTTAAATGGAGGTCAATAAAATAAGAAAAGATCATTTTAACTGTTACTGAAAATATTGCAATACATATCGCAATTCAGTTAAAAAATATCGCAATATGAAATTCCCAGCTGATACCCAGCCTTAATTATGGCATCATTATTATTATGATTACAGAGCTTTAATATTGACCATTTCGTATACTTCTATGGAATTTTATTGATATTCAATCATGTTGATTCAAATATCTGTTTGTGCTTATAGCTAAAGGCTGAAATAGCACGTTGTGAGAAGCTCAAGTTTGATAATATTCAGCGATTTGTGGAGGGCATGAGGAAAGAGATCGTTGAATGGTGGGATAAGTGCTTCTTCAGTAGACAACAGAGGGAAGATTTCACCGCTTATTTTAATGGTAAGAAATCTCATAAAAACCAAATGTTTGACTGTTAAAAAGTCTTATAATGTACATATGGCTGAAACATTCTGCTAAACTTCATAGATCTGAACTTTAATTACTATAAGTTTTCTTGAGAGAAAAAAACTCTTCTTTTTTTTTTTTTTTAGAAAACTATACAGAGGCTCTATTAGACGAGCATGATAGAGAAGTTCAAAAACTGAAGAAGTATTACGAGGATCATAAACAAATGTTTGAAAATCTGGAACGATGGGATTCCCACTTTCGGCAGATGATTGAAATGGAGGTATGTAAGCAAGTTATCAACAGCATGTAGTTTTATTTTATACATTAGTTCGAGGAGTAATATGCTAGAGCTTTCAGTTTTATAAGATAAATATTTTTGCCACTCTTTACCTCATTTTATGAAATATATAAATATATACATACTGATATTGTAATGTATTGGTGTTGGAAAATGTAAACTTGGTGGACTGTGATTCAACTGATGCCATTTCTTTTCTGTTTTGAAGAGGAAAGCAAATGATCCCAACAGATTTAACAACCGTGGAGGTAAATTACTTCAGGAGGAAAAGGCAAGAAAAAAAGTCCTGAAGGATCTGCCCAGGGTAAGTGGTAAAAGGTAGTAAAACAGATTATAGGTTCATTTCTGAAGATTCTGCCCAGGGTGAGTGGTAAATGGTAGGTACAACAAATTACAGGCTCATTTCTGTAGGATTTGTCTGGAGTGAGTAGATGGTACAACAAATTACAGGCTCATTTCTGTAGGATTTGTCTGGGGTGAGTAGATGATACAACAAATTACAGGCTCATTTCTGTAGGATTTGTCTGGGATGAGTAGATGATACAACAAGGTACAGGCTCATTTCTGTAGGATTTGTCTGGGGTGAGTAGATGGTACAACAAATTACAGGCTCATTTCTGTAGGATTTGTCTGGGGTGAGTAGATGATACAACAAATTACAGGCTCATTTATAGGATTTGTCTGGGGTGAGTAGATGGTACAACAAATTACAGACTCATTTCTGTAGGATTTGTCTGGGGTGAGTAGATGGTACAACAAATTACAGGCTCATTTCTGTAGGATTTGTCTGGGGTGAGTAGATGGTACAACAAATTGTAGGCTTATTTCTGAAGGATCTGAACAGGATGAGAGGTAAAAAGTGGTACATCAAATTATAGGTTCATATCTTTAGGATCTGAATGGGTGAATGGTTAAGGGTCAGAGCTCCAGATAATTTTTTAACCTAAAGTGTATTTACTCCCTGATTTTCAAATCAATGCAGATTTTGATTTTCAGCAAAATGATTTAAGAGTATTTTGTTAATATATACACATGTAATGTTTTGACATCTATTTTGATTTTGAGCTTGCTATCGAAATAAAGTGTTTTAGAAGAGGAAAGGAAAAAAACTACAAAGGAAAGTTCCTGCATTCATTTAGATAAATTTTGAAAATACCAATTAGACTTTTTGCTAAAACTGAGAAGTGTTCCTTTTTGACAAGGAAGATCATACAGTAGGTAAAAGCTACCATAGGCACATAAAACATTTCCTTTAAGATGATATCGTAACAAGAGTAAACCGAGAAAAAAATCTTAATCTGGCAAGTTGACAGAAATAAGAAGAACCCATCATAAAAAACGTCATGTACAAATTGTGTGTAACCGTCCTACTAAACAGAGAACTCTACAGAATCTAAGAGAAGTCTTGATCGGTAAATTCAAATACATGTTATGCATAATGTCTCTCTACTGCAATTTATTTATTTAATAGGTCTTGAAATTAAATAGAGCTTGTTTATTCAATATATGGTTTTAATATGGTCTTAATGTTTTTTTTTCTTACACATCATGTCCTCTTTGATAACATTGAAGGATAAACTTTTTTCTCCAGCTTTGACTTTTTTCCTCCAACTATCGTTTGTTTTCTAGGTAACATTGTTTTCTTAACTTATGCATTACACTTGTTACAATATCATCTTACATAGCTAACACAAGCGTTTGTGTGCTTAAAAGTACATGTAACTATGCCTAGTGCAAAGTCTTCTATTTAAAGAAATCGATTTTAATCTATATCTTTGATTCTTTCTCCATAATTGAAAATCATTGTCACCATTACTTGAATATTCCTGGTTAATAAAACGTTTTTAAATCAGTATTTCGTTTTGAGAAAAATCAAATACTGAGTTAACCTCAATTCATATCGTTAGCTAAGTCGTACTTTTATTATTCAACCCGTCATACGCAGTACTTTCGTGGTGTAATGCTTATCTACGATTGTTTGTGCATAACTGTACTCCCAGTTTTAATTTTCAATGCATATTTTGTAAAATTCAATGCGTATTTCTGCAAATATGCACCTTATCTGGAGCTCTGAGGGTGATACAACCAATTATAGGTTCATTTCTCTAGGATCTGCCTGGGGTTAGAAGGTTAAGGTGGTATGTTGCAACCACTATTGAAATAACGACCACTATTGAAATAATTATTTACAACAGATGATAGGTTCATTCCTGTAGGATCTGAACAGGGTGAGTGTACAGTCAGCAAAGTGCAGGTTCCTTTCTGAAGTACATGGAATGTGTATTTAATAATTATCAATTTTTGTAATACATTCTACTTACAGTATATTATCTACAATATTACCATACCAGTCTTTGCTCTAAATGTAGATTTTAGAACTTTTTTTGGCACTTTGAATGCGGAAAGGTACAGGAACTGTAGACTGACCTGCAGAAAGTGAAACTTCTTGTAGTTTTCTTTGTAAAGTGATCTTACGGCAATCTAATGACATTATAATTAAATGTATCTAGATTGAAGAAGAACTTAAAGAAACAGTTATTAAATGGGAGGCAGAACATAGCCAGCCATTCCTGGTAGAGGGTGTGGCTTTTGATGAATTTGTACAGAAACAGTGGGCCGCTTATGAAGAGCAGAAAATCAAGGAAAAAGAACAAAGGGTATTTATCCTTGAAAAATCTATCTAAATTCTAGCTATCAAATGTCTTTTAACCAAAGTTATGATGTGACATGTATAAAAAAAATCTGGTAAATCTGGTATATTAGAACTGTATTATTTCCTGTAAGGCTGTCACAAAAAGCTTTAGTACTACATCAGTTAGCAACAAGCCATCCCTCTGATGTTTAATGTTAAAGTCTGATTATATGTTACTCAAAGTAAACTAAGATTTGACAATGCTAATTTGAATCGTAACTTAAAAAGTAAAGGGGGGGGGGGGGCTTCTCAGTTCATTGTTTTTTCATTGCTTGCAATGTTAAAATCAGTTGGGAATGTCTTGTTTGATTTATTTCTCCAGCACAAAGCAAAGGCTCGATTGATGGAGGAAGAGATGATTTATGGTAGTAAGCCGTCTACTCCTGCCAAGAAACGCTTCCTGACTACGCCCACAAAGACCCCCAGTAAACTCAGGAAGGTCAGTAAAGGTCATCACACACCAAGGCAGTGTATCTCAAAGGCATGCAGTGTACATTTAGCTCTAGTTTGTAGTTTTTGTAATGAGTTTGTATTTTTGTACAAAAAACTCTTTATATCATGTTTCCAGAGCACTAGATATGTTTAAGGGCATACAGCTGGACTGTTAACTTTTAAATTTACATTTCATTGAATTCATACTGCAATGTACATGTATGTTATTTTTGTATAAAAGAGTTCAAGCCACAATTTACAATGTTAACAAGGACGTTTCAAAAACAAGTCATGAAATTTCACAAATGAGGACATACATGTACATTGAGATTTAAAAGGTTTGTTGGAAACTTGACATCAGTTATATGGATATCACCATGTCTGTCTGTAGACATTTCTTGGAACTCAGGTGATCTATTGATATCTGTATTATCCATTGTTGTGCATTATCTTTTGAACATTTTCATTTTCTTCTCAGGAACATTGAACCAACTTCAACCAATTTTGCTATATTAGCATATATGGGGAAAGGAGAAAAAAATTAAGAATTTTATGAATCTCTGCTCCCCTGGACCAAAATTATGAAAATTAATGCAATCTCCAAAAATATTCTTACTCCTAGACATATAGCAGGCAAACTGTTTGGCATGATTATAATAAGCATTGAGCCCTCTACCAAAAATTGTTAAATGTTTAGGCTCCAGGGTGGGGGCTAAGCAGGGGTGTGCAATTAGCATCGCCCGACGCCCGGGGCTACCATTTTTTGGGGTCGGGCTAGTAGTTTTCTGCACGGAGGTAGCCCCTTGGGCTAGTAAAAATTAAAACTACCAATGTAATACATGAAAATCACTATCGGTATTTTCTCTCATTTTTGGCTATAAAATTCTTAAGCAATGAAAATTTTTCGGCAGCATGCGCCTATTATTCGTAAATCTACATAATATTATCCATTTTGCAGTACTACCTGACTTATTTACTTCCAAAAACGATCGTTTTTATCTAATTCGAATTTCCTCTATTCCACTGTTTATGGTAAATACGCATGCAGATATCTCATTAAATTATTTACGATCACTCAATCAATTGAAAGATAAGTGTTATTTGGTTTGCATAACATATACTCCAGCGTATTTAATGATTTAAGATGAAAAAAAATGATTGTCATTTCATTTTAGATAGGATAATTTATTTTAATTCATTTTTAGTTTCTATCATAATTATTAATTTATAAATGATTTAATTTTACTAGTGAGAATTAAAAAGAATCACATTAAAACCCTAGCTGACTTTTTCAACAATAAACTATTTTCTTTTAATATTAGAACTTTGTTACCCCCCCCCCTTTCCCCTACATTTGGGCTAGTAACGTTTTACTTGGGGCTAGTAACTTTTTACTTGGGGCCAGTAACTTTATTTCTACCACTAGCCCGTGGGCTAGTGCTGAATTTTTCGAATTGCACACCCCTGCTAAGTAAGTCAGATTATTGAAAATGCATTATATCTTATATAAAATCTTTTTTACTCATGGCAAAGACCTAAAGGGAAATTGTTTACATGAATATAATGAGTACTCAACATTTTACCAAGATTGTTTTATTTCCCCCCCCCCCCCCCCTTTTGCCCATGGTTCAGGTCCCATGATAGGGGGGGGGGGGCTTAATTGGTCTTGCTAGCCCTCTAAAAAAAATTAAAAATTCATTTTCTTTCCCTGGGTCTAGGAATCTTCTATGTCAGAAAATGATGATGACAGAGTTTTGATAAACTAAAAGTTTGTCATGTCCGACCAAAGTTTCAGTACAGGTGGAGCTAAAGTGGTCCTACTTAAAACTTGATATTCAGCTGACCATCAAGGTCTATGAACTGTTGAAGGTTTTACTTTAATACTAAATACATCAAGGTGTATGGACTGTTGAAGGTTTTACTTTCATACTCAATACAGACGTTGCTTACAACCAGAGATGCTACAACCTCAATTGCATTTCAACACAATGCAGACCACAGAAATTTGCAGTATAATTTTTTTTTTTCTTGCAAGATGGCTATTCTTTTTAAAGCCATTTTAAAATGTATCCCTTTTTAAGTTGCTCCTTGGGGGTGATAGTCCTGGACCCATTAGGAGAGTTCTAATTTTTACCTACAATGTACTTTCTTATTGGAAAGTCTGTAACTCTAAATGTTTGGCACTGGAATCAAATTTTTTAACTTTCCTGATCTAGTTGACTGATGGCTCCAGTTCAAGGATATCTGTTCAGGTCAGACTACAGGTCAAGGTTAGGTCACTAATTGGATCTTTGACACGGTTTTACTTCTGGACAATCTGGCACTTTAACACACATTTTTTGATCTACCAAGTTTAATAATAAGCATTTCTTAAAACTGATTTATTCCTAACAGAATTTTGATCTCACTCCAACTGAAGTTCTTTAAATAATCATTAATATCTTGAAGATTACAGATGAGGCATATTGTTTTGCCGGAGATGGTGATAAATACTGGATTGCGGATAGTTTTCATGTATGTCCAGAAAAAGTTAAAACCACACTGGACATTGTGCCCGATGAATTTTAAAATTCTGGCATTGAAATAAAAATGGAAGTTCTAATTATTTCATTGAATCATAAAAATAAACATTCACTGAAATCTAAAAATTTCATCTTGGGGATAGGTATCTATAAAACAATGGTGCAGTAACACATATTAAAGTTATTTTTAAAATGTCCCCGGGAGATTTATATTTCTGGTAATGAGGGAAGCAATCATACAAACTGTTCTCATTTCTGTTTCTTTAGAAAGTTAAAACTTTAAAAAAGGGATTTTTGTAATTCAGTTTTATTAGTACAGTCAAACCTTGCTATCTCAAACTCAAAGGGACCAAGAAAATACTTCGAGATATCCGAGGATTCGAGATAGCCATGGTAAAATACTTAAGAAATAAGCAGTTGGGACTTCAAAATGACTTCAACATATCCATGGCATTCGAGATATCCGTGTTCGAGATACCGAAGTTCAACTGTATTTGGTGTATTTTATTTTTCATTACAATGGATGTTCAGGGTTTGCATTCCCAACTCCTGCAACCAGAAAACATATGTAGCTCTAAACTGCATGTATGCAGTTTTTCACACCTAAATATCTTGATTCTATTAAGAAACCCTAATTACAATAGACAGCGATAAGATTAGTTATGCTCCAATGCACAAGACATCTGTGATTTTGATATCTTGTAAATTGCACTTTTTTGATCAATTAATAAGTACACATCTGTTCCATTATTTCACAATTTATGGTACCATTTTAACCATAAAATTTACACCTTAATTACTTGACTAATACCAATTTTACTTTGAAAATATATATGGCTGTTGAGTCAAATCAATGAATCTTAATCAAACAACATGGTGATTTGATCAATATGTTGAAGAAATCAAGATTAATATGTATCATATTGTTGAAATAGGTAGGGGGTTTATTATAGTTTTTTACTGACACCTAAAAGCAAGGTTCTTTTTCATAATTCATGAACTAGTAACTGGGCTTAGTAATGACTTGGGAACTTATATAAAAAATGCCTCTTCATGTAGAGCTTTAGGGTGTTTTAAAAATCATTTTATTGACATGTCCTGAACATTTGCATCCTATAGAAAGATCCAGTTTTTATTTTTTTATTTTTTTTTAAGAAAGTATGAAAGGGGCCCATGATGGCAAATGTGGTTTGACAGTTCAAAGTGGGGGCAATACAGTTAAATAATTTACACATAGGATGGATAACTATTGAAGGGAAGTAATACAATCCAGTCTGGCAGATAAATTTCCAGATCTCTGATGTAAAGACGATTAAGACCCCTGTAAAATAATGAGACCTGGGGTCATTTTTTAATGCCAAAAATGGACCCCTGGTCATTTCACAGGGTTCAATATTTTGTTTTTACACTGGCAATTTATCAAAGGAGATGGTATTAAAACTGTAGATGCAACTCCTTTCTCAGGTGTTAATGTAGTACTGATACTGCTGTCTCCCGATCTGAGGTGAAGTATAAAGGCTTGATCAATTTCTGTTACTGACATACTGTCAATATTATTTCAGCTGAATGACACAACCAAGACTCCAATGTCTTGCAGTAAGATTCAGCACAGTAGTGTGTTTGCTTCCCCATCTATGAGGGCTCCCATGTCAGCAAGTAAATATGTAAGTTTTTTTTGCCAAATTTGCTAGAAGTATCTCTTTTCCCCTATATATCATTTGTCAAAAATTTTTGTGACTGAATAAATTTATCTAACTAAAAATTTGAAGATAATATGAAATATTTTTTAAGTCATGTTTTTTGTAGACACCTGGCTGTAAAACAACACGAAGAAGGTCCCTCCGTGGAAATCGTAAAGTTCTGTCAGAGCGAAACAATGGTCCTCCAAACCCGGCCCTGTTCAGCCATACGACGGTAAGCAGTCACGGACAGTCCGCACCTACTGCCCATATTGACGTCTCGGCAGCCTCCATGGGAACGTATCAAGATTTTGAAGTGTGTATTTTTTTTAATCAAGTCGTCTCTCTCTATCATTAACACAATTAATAAAAAACATTTTTTGAATCACTTTTTTTAAAAATTGTTTAAGTAATACAGTCAATCTTTAAGTTCACCTCTCCTCTCCAATTTGAAGTCTTGATTTATCCCATATGACTATTTTTAAATCAGAGTTATAAATAATACACAATAAATGGAATATTATACATTAATTAGTATATTATACTTGAAGCTGTGATCTTATTTGATGCTATTTTCAGTCGGGAATTCAAATGAATAGCACTTTAACGTACAGAAGAAAACCGCCCATGTAGGTGATACTTGTGCCTTTAAACTCTGCCATTTCTGTCACAGTTTACTCACAGCATGACTTTTTTTAACAACCCTACTGCATTCAGATGCATGACGTAATTGAGTTTCCCATCATTAATATAATTTTGCACATTATTTATAAAAATTCTCTCAAAGTTTATTCTTTTTTTATTCAGTGTATAATATTACTGTAATCCTTTTAGCATGTTCCAATAATTTTTGTAATGCTTTAACTCAAAAAAAAATTGTAATTAAAATATAAGCTAGTTTCATTTTCAGTTTATGCAAGTAATAAATCTGAATTGCATCAGATAACGGAACTGTCATATGTTTATTAATGGTTTTTCAGCCCTCTTAAAAATACATTAATGAATAACAAATTTGCAATAAAAGTAGTTTTTTTTCCCCATACTTCTGCGGGAACATTAAATCTCATTCATCTGTCTGTCTGTCTGTAACAAAAACTTTAACTTTGGTCATGAGGTCTTCTCTTTGATTGAGAGAAGACGTGACTTTCATATTTACACATGCATATCCAGAGTTGTCGAAATTTTTAAATCATTGTCAGACATTTGATCTGACGAAGTCGAAGGCTATGTTTGACCGGTCGAAAATTTTGTTAGACCAGATACATGTACATACACCTTGCTTTGTACAGAATGGAAAATAAATAACTGCACTACAATGACCTTAATTATGTTTGACAGCATTGGATTTCACAATTTTCTTTTCTTAGGAGGGAGAATCTTTAAGAGTCCTCCTCATCCCCCAAGCTTATGATCTCATATTACTGAGCATTACTTTTAACAAGCATATCAATCTTTAAAAACTGGCAGGAAATGAAATATAATTTATACTGATTTTCTTAAGATTTAATTTCATAAGTGTTCAGATATTTTTCCCATTGAGTTTGGATAAGTAGCACAACAAATTTTGTTTTTTCCTGGCGTATATTAACAACCACAAAAACTTAAGTGTATCAGTCAACATATTTTTTAAAGATATTACCGGTAATAAAAATTTATAAAAAGTAATTATATAACTTATTTTCTCTAAATTATAGGTATATGGATGAAAATTAGGGAAGACTTTAGAAGAAACATTAATGAATTAAATTACAACAGAAATTGAATTAAAATCAAATTTATTGGTGTACAAAAATTATTTTCAAAATCCTTGGTATGAAAGTTCCTTTTTAGAGTTATCTTTCCTGTTACCCACTACTCAAATACTTTTGTAAGTCATCATGTTACTCATTATTGGCAACTGAACTGGACAGATGTAAATAAGCAAAACTAGATATGCACACTATTTATCAATATATATTTACATTTGCAAATGTTTTTGTATAACACTATTGAAAGCAATGTGTATCTATATCTGTATAAACACGGTTCCTCGTGTCATAAATGTTCGACGTAATTTCTCGGTGACGTCATAAAGAGTCAATGTGCAATCAATGGATCAAATACGTGCCATTGAGTTTGAAAAATAAAATATTTCACTCGTCAAAGATTATAATCAGGAAAATATAAAATATGAATAAGTCGTAAATGTAAATATAAGTAATAATGTATCATTTCTAAACATCTATCAGGATATAAATATGGGTTGGTATGAGATCAAATTTATCATAAAGCCCTTCGGGCTTTATGGAATTTGATCTCATGACCGACCCGTATTTATATCCCGATAGATGTTTAAAAATGATATATTATCCTTAAATATATATAAACACACAATGAGATAGATATTGAGAAGCACAAATCTGTGTGCAAAAAAATAACAGATTGTGTTGATATCAAAAGATTGATTTGCCTGAAAGTATAAATAAACTAAAATGATATTCTCATAGTTACCTGTTATTTACAGTAACTCAAAGGTCTGCTTTTCTTTTATAGAAAAATCGACACCTTTTTAGCTCACCTGAGCTGAAGGCTCAAGTGAGCTTTTCTGATAGAAATTCGTCCGTTGTCTGTCGTTGTAAACTTTTCACATTTTCAACTTCTTCACAAGAACCACTGGGCCAATTTCAACCAAACTTGCTGCAAAGTATCCTTGGTTAAAGGGGATTCAAGTTTTTTTTCAAATGAAGGGCCACACCTTCTTCCAAGGGGAGATAATTATGAATTCATGAAAAATTAATGGCATTTTCTCAAGAACCACTGTGCTTGAAAATATGAAACTTATGTGGAATCATTGAGAGGTAGTGTAGATTCAAGTTTGTTCAAATCATGGCCCCTGGGGGTAGGGTGGGGCCACAATGGGCGATCAAAGTTTTACATAGGAAAACGTAGGAAAAATCTTTAAAAAATCTTCTTCTCAAGAACAGCAAAGCCATGATTGGTCATATCTATATGCAAGAATTCCCAGGTAGTGTAGATTCAAGTTCAAATCATGACCCCCGAGGGTAGGGTGGGGCCACAATGGGCGATCAAAGTTTTACATAGGAATACATAGGAAATTCTTTTAAAATCTTCTTCTTAAGAACAGCAAAGCCATGATTGGTGAATGGTCATATTTATATGCAAGCATCCTCAGGTAGTGTAGATTCAAGTGTGTACAAATCATAACCCCCAGGGATACGGTGGGGCCACACCAGAGTTTTTCTTAAATTTTCAAAATTTAACACTGGTAATAACTTTTGAATGAAAGTGCTTTCGTATTTCTGAAGTACATTATATGTGACATTGACTTTCAAGAAGTAGTACCATTTTTGACCTCAAGACCTTGAAGTTTGACCAACTTTTCAAAAAAAAATTTAACTTCAGTAAGCTTTTGCACCTGAAGAGACATGATGATTTTTGACATCTTGACCCTGACCTTGATGCTACTTTTCAAAAATTTAACCATGGCTTTAACTTTTGTACCTGATGAGATGGGGCTTCCGTATTTTTGTCCTATACCCATTACTTGTGACAAGACATTTCTGAATGTATTATGATTTTTGACGTCATGACCTAGACCAGTTTGACTTTCAAGAACTCTAATCTTGGCGATAACTTTTACAAAAGAACAAATTTTTATCCCACCCCTCCAATTATGAATGGGGCACATAGTGTTTATCATTTCTTTGTGCTAGCTATGTAAATGAAAAGTATTGAGATTTTGGTCATTGAGATTATCTATGCAAAGTGATACAAGTACCGGTACATGTATCAGTCATTGAGGTGGAAATGCTAGCTGATGTAGATTTCATTCATTGAGATTGAAAATGTGAATTGATGTGTCTTTTTTTTCAGAGGAATTTAAACCACCCCACCAGAGCCTTTTGTAGAAGCAGTATGATGCCCCATGGGAGCCCCAGTAACAGAATGTGAATTGTACATATTGTGTACATAATGTATAGTGTACAGACCTCTACAGCAGTGCAATAACACGTTTTACTATGGTCAGAAAAACTACAGGCTTTTTATAAGCTATTGCTTTGAACTTCTTCAACCCAATATTTTTTTAAGAAAATAAATTTTTTATCATGTGGACTTTTAAATATTTCTTTTCTTTCACATTGTGATAATCCAGCATGGGGCCAGTTAAAACTGTTAATTCTGCTGCTAATGTTAAATTATGAATAATTTTTTGTCCAATAGATGCTGCTGGCATATGTACATTGATTAATGGTTGTAAATGTATAGGATTTCATTCATACTCTTACAACCTTATACACATGGAAATGTTTCAGTATATCTATAGTATAAATTAATTTACAGATGTTAAAAAAAGTATCTTAAATGTCCCAGTTTTTAGCTCACCTGAGCCGAAGGCTCAAGTGAGCTTTTCTGATCACATTTTGTCTGTCTGTCCGTCTGTAAACTTTTCACATTTTCGACTTCTTCTCAAGAACCACTGGGCCAATTTCAACCAAACTTGCCACAAAGTATCCTTGGGTAAAGGAGATTCAAGTTTGTTCAAATGAAGGGCCACGCCTTCTTCCAAGGGGAGATAATTGAGAATTTGTGAAAAATTAATGGCATCATTAAAAAATCTTCTTCTCAAGAACCACTGTGCTTGAAAACATGAAACTTATGTGGAAGCATCCTCAGGTAGTGTAGATTCAAATTTGTTCAAATCATGACCCCCGGGGGTAGGGTGGGGCCGCAATGGGTGATCAAAGTTTTACATAGGAAATATACAGGAAAAATCTTTAAAAATCTTCTTCTGAAGAACAGCAAAGCCATGATTGGTCATATTTATATGGTAGCATCCTCAGGTAGTGTAGATTCAAGTTTGTTCAAATCTTGACCCCCGGGGGTCGGGTGGGGCCACAATGGGCGATCAAAGTTTTACATAGGAATATATGGGAAAATCTTCAAAAATCTTCTTCTCAAGAACAGCAAAGCCATAATTGGTCATATTTACATGGAAGCATCCTCAGGTAGTGTAGATTCAAGTTTGGTCAAATCATGACCCCCGGGGGTCGGGTGGGGCCACAATGGGCGATCAAAGTTTTACATAGGAATATATAGGAAAAAATCTTTAAAAATCTTCTTCTCAAGAACAGCAAAGCCATGATTGATCATATTTACATGGAAGCATCCTCAGGTAGTGTAGATTCAAGTTTCTTCAACTCATGACCCCCGGGGGTCGGGTGGGGCCACAATGGGCGATCAAAGTTTTACATAGGAATATATGGGAAAATCTTTAAAAAATCTTCTTCTCAAGAACAGCAAAGCCATGATTGGTCACATTTACATGGAAGCATCCTCAGATAGTGTACATTTAAATTTGTTCAAATCATGACCCCCGGGGGTCGGATGGGTCCACAATGGGCGATCAAAGTTTTACATAGGAATATATGGGAAAATCTTCAAAAATCTTCTTCTCAAGAACAGCAAAGCCATGATTGGTCACATTTACATAGAAGCATCCTCAGATAGTGTACATTCAAATTTGTTCAAATCATGACCCCCGGGGGTCAGGTGGGTCCACAGTGGGCGATCAAAGTTTTACATAGGAACACATAGTAAAAATCTTAAAAAAACTATTTGTTAAGAATAGCAGAGCCATGATTGGTCATATTTATATGGTAGCATCCTCAGATTGTGTACATACAAATTTGTTCGAATCATGACCCCCGGGGGTCGGGTGGGGCCACAATGGCCGATCAAAGTTTTACATAGGAACACATAGTAAAAATCTTTAAAAAAAACTATTTGTTAAGAATAGCAAAGCCATGATTGGTCATATTTATATGGAAGCATTCTTAGATAGTGTACATTCAAGTTTGTTCAAACATGACCCCTGGGGGTCGGGTGGGGCCACAATGGGTGATCAAAGTTTTACATAGGAATACATAGGTTAAATCTTTAAAAATCTTCTACTCAAGAACAGCAAAGCCATGATTGGTCATATTTAAATGGAAGCATCCTCAGATAATGTAGATTCAAATTTGTTCAATTCATGACCCCCCCCCCCCCCCCCAACCACTTTTATATTTAAACTTTTCAACCTTTCAAGATTGAAGTGATTTCTGCTTTTTCCTAGCCATAGTGCTCAGGTGAGCGATGTGGCCCCTGGGCCTCTTGTTATCTTATTGTATCTATTAGAACCTATCTGATTTATGTAATCTTTTCTCTCTCCTTCTCAGAATCTCGATCATTTTCCCATCTGTATATTTGTAAATAAACACATCATGCTGTATATGCATCTTTTTCAGGTAATTAAATTATTTAGTGACTTTTGGCTGCATCTTTGTTTTAGACTGCTTTTTGAAATGTGTGAGGAGTATTTTATGTTGATCGGATTTATTTATTTTTAATTATCATTATAATAATGAACATCCAGTTGTAAAAATTTCAGGATAGAAGAAAATGTCAATAAATGAACAATAAAATTTTTGTGCAAAATAACTTGTATTGTTTGTGAGTTACTTCGTAATGTCAATTGATAGTAATACTATTCAGCATAATTTTTAGAGGCTATTTTAAACAAAATTTTCACTAATTCTTGCTTATCTCCCCTTGTAAGAGGATGTGGCTCTTCATTTGAATCAACCAGGGATGCTTTGTGGCAAGTTTGGTTGAAATTGCACCCCCCTCCCCCTGGTCATGACACTAGTTTTCTACAAAGGACAAGATAGGCTAATACCCCTTTTTAGCCCCTGGTTTGGGGTGTTTTCTAGAATGATGCAATAGTTTATCAATTAAAAACCTGCTGTCACCCCTGCCACAAAACGAGTATTGGTTCTAAGTTATGGGATACACAGAGGTCACAGGAAGGTCAGAAAATATGTCAATTTCCGAATTTTCTCATTTTTATGCAAATTTTCATCGATTTTACAGCACATTTTGGTTCAGAAAACATAAAGCACAAGCTTGCCTATCTACCAAATTTATATATTTCATACACTAGTATCAGATGCATCTTGTGTATAAAAATTTCATATAGGCAAGATTGTGCTCTATGTTTCTCAAAGTGAATAGTATCTCAAATTTGACAAAATTCCACCAGAATTGAGGAAATACGGTAAAATATCCTACTTGGCACCCTCTTGTGGCCTCCGTGTAAGCTTTGAATGAAAAATAGTACTGGTTTTTTAAAACAAGCATCATTTTAAGTTCTTAACTACAAACTATCACAATTTTAACTGTGTTCTGATTTTTACATTGAATGAGGGGCCAGATTCATTACCATACCTTGTCCTTTGAATCTTCCTTTTTTGAATGCTACCTGAGGAAACTTCTGTACAAATATGACTAATCATGGCTTTGCTGTTCTTGAGAATTTTTAAAAAAGATTTTTCCTATATATTCCCTATATATTCCTATGTAAAACGTTGATTGCCCATTGTGGCCCGCCCTACCCCCTGGAGTCATGATTTGAACAAACTTGAATCTACACTACCTGAGGATGTTTCCATATAAATATGACTAATCATGGCTTTGCTGTTTTTGAGAAGATTTTTTAAAGTTTTTCTATGTGTTCCTATATAAAACTTTGATCATCCATTGTTTCCCCAGCCTTTCCCTGTGGATTATGATTTGAACAAACTTGAATCTACACAATATCAGAAAGCCATCAAATAAGTTTAATGTTATTTGGCCCAGTGGTTCTTGAGAAGATTTTTTAAATGTCCCTACACAAATTTCACTATTTCTTAATTATCTCCCCTTAAAAGAGGATGTGGCCCCATTTGAACAAACTTGAATCCCCTTGACCCAAGATACTCTGTGCCAAGTTTGGTTGAAATTGGGCCAGTGGTTCTGGAGAAGAAGAATTTATGACAATGACAACAATGCCAACAACAAAAAGCATTGGACAAAGGATGACTGCACTTAACGCAGGATTTTGGGTCTTTTTTGGTCGCTTCTTTTGCTTTTATTTCATAATATTATTTCATTTTTATATATTTATGAAAGAATCCTGTCAATTTCGAACCAAATTTAAATGTTAAAATGATATTAGACTATGATACAATAAAATGATTCTATGTTTTCTGTCCTTAATCTTTCCAAATATAGAGAATTAACACTTACCTGCCCATGATTGAACATTAGGTATGAGATGTGGAGCTTACATTGTAAGAATGGGTCTAAAATTAGACTAGATAAAAAACAATGACATGTATTTAAAAAATATGATATCTCTCTTTCTCATTCCCTCTTTATTCTGTATGGCACAAGTACACTATTTTCAGAGGTTTCAAAATGAAATTAACAATATGTCCGATGTCCATGTAAGAAAAGAATCTTTTAATCAATGCCTAACAATTTAACGTGTTCGAACACAATGTCCTAGTAAGCACAAAATATGCTACTTTACAAGTCACATGACGGCATTTAGTATTCACAGAGTTCCCTGAGGTAAGAAATCACGTGGGGAATTATACAGTCCCTGAAACGTTCTACTTTCCCATTTTTCCGTTCGCTCACCGTTCGTTCACCGTTCGTTCAGCGTGCGTTCACCGTTCGCTCTCCGTTCACAGTCTTGCGTTCTGCGTTCACCGTGCGCTCGCGTTCACCGTTCACAAAGCGTTTACCGTTCGCTCTCCGTTCGTTCACTTTGCGTTCACCTTGCGTTCAGCGTTCACTTATCGTTCAGTCTTCAGTGTCATTCGGAACTCCGAAGTGAAAGGACTTATCTTTTTTTGAAGTAAGGATTTACGGGATTTCAAATTTAATAATTCACATATCGTTTTTAAAGGATCATTATTTTATTGGAATAAATTATCTACAATATGCTTTATTATTATTATTATTCTAACTTAGCTGTTAGGTTATTATTTAAATTACTCTGGAAAATAAATGTTTTTATAAGTATGTACCTATGTAGAACGATGCTGAAATTTAAATACGGGCAATATAGGGGTACTTCAAGCACTGCAACATTTTACTGTTATGTTAAATACGACAAGTCGTTAATGGAGAGATAATAATCCATGTCATTTAATTTAGCAACTGCAGGAAAATTAGAAAGTATTTATTACGAACACGTTTTTTTTTCTATTATTATAGAAATACATTATTAGAACTAGTTCTGAGAATTATAAATAGTACTGCGGATATCCAGTTAATTAAATATCTTTGGAACGAATTAAATTAATAGTGTGGTTAAAAAAATATTTATTTAATGTAATATACTACAATTCATCTATAAATTCTACTGTTAGAGAGAAAAAATTCCTTTCTTCACAATAACTTTATATGTTTGCCATTCAATATGATTAAGACCCCCCCCCCCTTTTCCACGTAGATCGGTCACTTAGTCAGTATTTCCAGTATATTTTAAATTAATATTTAAAAAG